TAGGGTTTACCGTCGACTCGCTTACAGGTGACACAGCGTCGAATAATGTAATTAACAGTCTGTCTGATGTTCGTAATCCAATATTGTTGACGAATAGCAGTCACGACAGCCTGTGTCCCACTGTGGTGTAGACGTTCATGTTCTCGGCGGACAAGTAGCGTAGTAAAGTAATGTTTGCTTGGTAACAATGCAGGAAATTTAGTAGTAAAGTTCACATCTGCGTTGTGAAGTCTGCTGCCACAGCGCAAAACTCCGTCGTCATCGATGAATAAACGTAGTTGTCTAACAAGTACACCAAAGCGTTTATTGTTGTGACGGATGGTGGTGAATGAATCAGCGAAGTGTCGTTGCTGAAGATCAGAAACCCATGTCTTTTCAGCTTTAGCGATTTCTTCAGCGGAAATTGATGAATTCGCGGTAGAAATACGTCGGCGAAGTTTATCGACGAAACGACGAATTAATACAGTAACTCGAAGTAATCGTTGCAAAGTGCTGAAGCGAGTTGGGTCGATTATATTCTCGAGATTGATGTTGGGTTCATTTGGTTCGTCGTCAGCATCATTCATCAACAAATCGCTATCGTGACGCGGTAACGTATCTGAAGTCGCGTTGATTGACAGCGGAGGAATCAGCTCACCTAGCGGTTGATTGGCTGAATGTAGTATGTTGACACTGACGTCATCACTGAGACTGGGGGAGTGTTCAGAGGTTTCACATACATTGTAGACATGCAGTTCAGAGTTAGTAATGCGACTTGCAGAGTTTGCGTTATTGTTCTCGGTTTCGTGATCGGAGGGACCGTTATCAAGTTGCGACGATCGGCGTTCATAGTGCGTAGATGCGGCTGGTGGCGCGGCGTTCGATGACCCCTCGTTGACCGGTCGTAATGATTCGCGTGTGTATAATGTAGAGGCGGTGATCATTTCAACTTTTCGCGGTACAGCTATAGATAATTGTTCATCTACAATTTCCTTTATTGGCGAAGGCATGTTTATCAGTACATGTAGCATGTTGGTTGTAGACGAGGTATTTCCGCAAGGCTTAGGTCCTGAAAGAAGGTAACCAAATGGTGACATGACAGCAGTCGGTCCGTCTCCTCGAACGACCCTGTCAGTTACGTATTGCCAGTAATAGTCGGCACCAATAAGTATGTCAATGTCAAAGTTAGGTTCTTTGTCATTAATGGGGTGGGCGAGTACTAGGTCCCTTAAATGTGGTAATTCTAGTAAATCACTAGTGACATAGTTTTCCATATTAGCCGAAATTTCAGGTATCAGCAAAGCGTTCATTTGTGATACAGTACCGTCTAATGGGTGTAAATTCAATGTCGCACTTTGTAGTATACGTCGTTCAGCTTGTTTACTTCCAAAAGCTGAAAGGGGAATTATTTCTGGATTAGTCGTGGTCATTGGAATTTTGCTAGCAAGGTTTTCAGTTATAAAACTTCTATTGGCACCCTCGTCAAATAGTACAGTAGCAGTAGTCATGTTATTGTCATAAGAAACGTTAATTTTGGCAGTCTTGAGTAGTACAGGTCTCTGTGAATAGCCAACATTACCGGAATTTGAATGAAATACAGCCGAATTGTTACTGACTTTCGGGTCAGTAGGATTCTCGTTAACCAGTGTCGATGAGCAATCGGTGTGATTGCAAGTGTGAGCCAGTGTACCTCTCCCTGGCACCGAGGTGTAAGTAGTTTTAACGTGAGTGTTTTTATTTGAAGAATGTGATGTATTGGAATGTGAACGGTTTGTTATTTCCTTGTCTTTACTTTTGTCATGCAAGGAGGTGTGATGTTTTTTTTGACAGTGGCGACACGAATACTTCGACCTGCAGTTATTGACGACATGATTTCCCAAACAGTTAAAACATAACTTGTTGCGTTTGACTATGTCAAGTCGTGAATCAAAATCAGAGACAACTACACAGTCGTTTGGGGTATGACCCCCTTTACAATAGGTACATGGAGGAGAGGAGTAAGTCTGTCGTGTAGTCGATCTTCGGCCACCTCTGGTATTAAATGGCGGAGCGGTTCTCTCGCCTCCTCTCGTTGATGTATGGAAGGTGGCTATGGTAGGAGTCTGTCGAGTATGATTGTCAAAGTCACCAATATGATTTACCTTAATTTCAGTTAGTATAGCCTTACGTAAATCGGGAAGTGTCCACGGTGTATCTCCCCGGATGCGGTATAGCGTACGATGAAAGTCAGTGGGTAATTTCTCCAAAATTAACGGTATAAGTAATTCTCCATATGCGCTTTCCATCTTTGCCGTGCGAATTAAGTCCACGAACATGCGTTTCAATCGTGTCGTAGAAATGTCTAAGACTCGCTGTGTTGTTTCGCCGGTGTAAGTAGTTCCCATAATGCTTTGATGTGTGCATTGATGATGGCTTTGTTTCCCGCCCGTATCGTTCTTCTAG